CTGCACGGCTTCAAGATCGCGGTAGACAGACTCGGACTCCAAACGACCACAATACTATTAGGTTAAATCGGAACCTCGACTCTATTTCCATACTAGCATGTAGAGTCCACTGCTCCAAGGAAAACCGATATCCCTACATATGGTGAATTGTTACTCTTCGTCTTCGTCTACGTTTCTAGCGTCTCTGATTTTTTCCACAATTTATAGTTCCCTTGGGCAACTCCGGGTTGAAGTTCCAGGAATATGTTAGGAACGATGTCGTATGGTTCCTCTGAGTGGAGTTTTTGACGAGGAGTCTATTGAACACATATAGCAGCGTAATTCATCGTTTAACGTTGTGGATTATATTTCTTTTCCAAAACAATCGATCCCTTTCAAGATATGAGGCATTCGCCATCGTGGGCATATCAGGCCGTGAGACCTGCTACCGATACAGGGCCGGAAAGAGATGGCATGTCAATCAGCGGGGGTTGCCCCGCAAGGTAGTCTTCAAGCAACACGGCTTTGAATCGACACCGTTTCAGCGTATTTTCGACGCTGTTCAAGATATCTCTGAACGTCTTCAATCAGATGATATTGATGGTTATACGATAGCTGTGATAGCTCGGCTTATTCTGGCGTATCCTAGATCATCTTTAAAGTTTCGATTATACTACGTCTATCGAAGAAACTGTAAGTATGCTGTTACGGTATCGCCACTCTTCTGATTCTCACTTGCTCTTTTTTCAGATGCAAGCCTAAGCTTGGGTTTTACCCAAACTTGGTACGTTTCTTTCCACTTTGTGGCTGTCTTAAGTATATACTCGACAAAATTATCTTCAGGGGTCGGTCGCTCCACCTAAGTATCTTTGGGTCAACCAGCCTCAAAAATATCAAAGGACTTCTTGGTAAGCCAATTTGCGTATTGTCTGTCTGGTTTCGAGTTTCGTATGACACTCCGTATAACATTGACGGAGGAGGAGATCAAATATCTTGAGAAGCCATATCAGCTGCAGACTTTGATTGGCGTCCACTGAGCAGGTTCCGTGCACAGCACAGCCCTATTCCTATCCCGTGGGAGGTCATGTGCCATATCTTCCCAGGTCAATTTAACGACTTGCAGTGCCAAATACATACGCCTCTCACTTATTCAACGCGTACTGCCCCAGGACCATCGCAGTTGAGTATCCTTCTTTCTTCTTCCCCTGTGGACTGTGCTCACTGTGACGTGATGGTCCCAACTTTAGATTGGAAGACAGGCGCATCCCTATCCGGTTGCTTCCGTAACGGATTGCCGCTTGCAACAACTCGGCTTTATATCCTCGTTAGGCTATCCTCGCTAGGCTGCAGCCGACTTATTGGCATTATTCTTTCAGTTTTTTATCGTTTCTGTTTCATACATCTCTCTCGCTGTAAAGGCATCTGGCGAGTGCTGACATGAGAGTGTCAACCTCGGGAGCAGTGCGGGGAGTCTGGGGCGATGCTGCTTCGCTATTTTGTTGGCACCGGTATGCACTGGATCAGGGTCATACTCGGGTATCTCACGTGATGGACGTGCCCACAAAGACTCACAAAGATAGCATAAAACATTCTGATCGCTGAACCCATCTTTGCCCTCAAAACGATGGTGGGTCGTCGTAAGTCCTATCGTAACCCTTGCTTCCCGTTATTGCATCGCTAAAATGATTCAGGTTGGCCACCGCTCAGGATACCCCATGAGCTCATACACTTTTGGATCATTCCTTTGCTGCTTTCAGAGCATCTGCATCAAGTTCTCGCACATGGAGAAAAGAAGACATGGAATCCCTTCCTAATTTTACCTTTGGTTTCTGAGGAATTCAGGCAGTCATCTCGGTCCCATAACAGAAATATCTTTGGGCTGCGTCCAGGAGATGGAAGCGAGTAAGTGGCGACAAAAGTGGCGACAAAAGTGGCAATGAAGTCTCAACGTTTTTTAATATTCACACACTTACACAGTGATATTGCACCAATGTATAACCAAGTTAAAGATTTATGGAAGCAAGCAAATCTCCATCCTCTTGATGCACCCGATATTCCAACATTATCCTTCCGAGAACTGGCATCTCGCTCTAACCTCCTCCATATTTATGCTTGTGCTGCTTATGCCAAGATCTATTACAACGTCGACGTTTTAAAGCCTATTATTAAAGAGTATTATTTCAGGCGCACGAAATACCTCTGTGATATGGAAGGATGGGAGCAACCGCACGTTATTAACATTCCCCATAGCAGTTACGATCACACGACCCGGTCTTACAGAATGAAAGACCATAGGATGCATCGGCTTTTTATGCCACTCAATCTGGCAATAGAACAATGCGATAAGGCGAAACCTCAAATATTATCGTATTATATTGCGGATTACCTGGCTGGTACAATACCGACATATGCCGCTGGTATGTGGTGCCACTTATGAGTATAATATTATGCTGAAATGGCGTAGTTCCGACAATGCTGAAGAATGCCCAGGACTTGGAGGCTCACCTCATACCCATTGAAGGATTGGACAAGGTTAGTAGGCTCATTCTTGGATGAACAAGAATCCTTACGTTGAACAGAGTCATCTACTGGATTGGACTAAGCGGTCTTTGAATCTGATAGATGGCATAAGAGACCTTATAACTGAGCTGCAAACTACCGGCCTTGTAGTATCATGTTTTCCTAGCTCTCCGACCATTCCCAAAGCGGCCATCAGAGTGAGTGCTTCCTTCATTATTTGGATCAATGCGATCTTACTCTTTACAGGATACGTATATTGTCGACATTTTAAACGCAATTGCCCTATCAGACTGGGGTGAGGCTAGCGTTGAAATTCTTGAATGGGCAGGTGACGCAAGGGAGGATTTGGAGGCGGAGCTTGAGAGAGCTTGAGTTCTATTTTTTTTATTGTGGCATCCATGACCAATTGTCGTGATAAAACGAGAGCTCTTTGATAGATTGAATAGCATTCCCTCAAATTAGCATCAGACAATTGACACATTAGAAATCACAGATTAATCACATCCAAAATCTCCAACTACCAACTACATATGATGAAACAATACAGGAGAGTTCTCAGAAATGAGCTAGTAAGATAAACTTAAAGGCTGACGGGTGTGCAGCCAACGTTGACCAAGTCATTGAAGCTGTTGTTGGTGCAGCAAACGGGTTGTTGAGCGCTGTGCAAATATGAAATAAATCACTCAAGGACATTTATCGATTCGATTTTACACTTACCAGCTGGCTCCTTGGCCAGCACAGATAACAGTAATGGGAGTGCATCCAAGACCAACGAGAACATCAACGCCCTGGACGACTATACTGAGAAGACCTAGAAGAGCAGCAGTGGAGGCATTGCTGGCGCTGCTAATACTGTTGCAGCACTGGGCATCGCCGATGTTGCACTGGCTGATTGCCCGGCACACTAAACATATGGATTAGATCTACATCAACTTGCAACATGTGAAAAGAAAAAGACTTACTTGGGCATGGCGACAGCAAGGATTGCAGATGAGATGGCGAAGAAAGCGCTGGTGAATTGCATCTTTGAGTGTTTGGGTGTTAGTCCGACAGTTGTTGCAGAACTGGAGAAATATCGTTGACCCAGGTCAAGCTTTATACCCCAGCAGGTGCGTCTGTGCGCAACAAGTTGTTTCATGTTAAATTTTCATGACAGTCCAAATGTTGGAGAAAAATATCAGTACAAATTGTGGAGGGGGATTGAGCCACCCTATTTGCATTTCTGGCTATGTACACCGGTGGCTAGAACGATATTCACTGGCCTGATCCGGAGTGCTCGGTGATGGCACGTCAACAAAAAGCAGACGGGACGGATGTTCACGATTCATTATATAACCGTTACATCTCTATCCAATGATAGTTGAATACTAAGTAGCTGGTGACCTCGTCCAGCAGCCAGTGGTTCCAGAGGGTTCCAGCCACAACAGTCCGGACGTCTGTCTATAATGGTAGCTGTCAGCTCCAGCTTCGTCAATCTTTCAACCGTGTTTATACATTCAATGCCTCTGACAGAACATCCTTTGTGCCTTGGGGCTCCGTTTATGTAATTTGATTGTTGTTATGAAGATATATCTAAGTTATGTGGACATGATCGTGGGTGTCACCAGGAAGTTGAACATTGTGCAGCTTGCATACGACCGAATTTTTTGGGAAAATATTATGCAAATTACACACTACTTTCTGAATCGACTCATATGTATTATTATTGATTAATAATGACTTACTATCAATAATATATCGATTACATGGTATGATAAACTCAGAAATGAGCTAGTACGATATCTTAAAGACTGATCATGGGGATGCAGCCAACGCCATTGATCAAAGCCTTAAAGCTTTTGTTTGTGCAGCCAATTAGATTTTAGGGATGGCATATTGTATGAATAAAAATATCAATGTGGGACTAAAACAGCTGTGTAATTAAGGGATCTTGTACATTTGTAGCATCTACGTTTGCAGTTAATAGGAGATTCTACCATTTCAGCCAACAGGGTCACCGAAAATTTTGCCAGCTGTCTGTTAAAATGAGGTGAACCACACACCTCACTTGGGAATAAACAGGGACCCTGGAAAACGCGCGGGGTGTTTAATTGTCACTGGCTATGCTTTATACAACAAGTATGTCAATATATCGACTAAAAGGGAGCGGGAAAGGTACGAAATATTGCAAATATGCGGAATCGAGTATAAAGAGAATAATAGAATAACACATCTGATTAGAGGCCGTGCACGGAACTCGTGCAGTGCTCGTTTCTGACTGTCAATATTCTAACACTGTCAAACCGGGTAGCAAAATAAAACCTTGAATAGTTTTATAATACAAAACAATAATAAAATAACGGTGACTGCCCGCAACGACCTACTAACTCACTCGATGGGCCATGAGACTCTTAACGGGTGAAATCATACTGTTGGGATTTCATTGTCAAAATGTGTAATTAAATCTCGCTTGAATCAGCAGATTTCGTTAGGAGAATTAAAGAAGGATTGAGGATCAAATATGGAGACAAAGAGAGTTGAACTTCTGACCGCTTCAAGTGTTGGTTGCAAATGAAACGTACTAACCTCTACACCACGTTCTCAATATCTTTAAAGGTGAATTATGACGCATTTGAAGGCTGAAAATAGCAGTGGGAGTTATAAACTCTGAGTCTTTGCTCGGTAAATCTCGTCAGTCGGATCATTGAATTAATCTCAGGGGAAATGACAGCCTGGAGTAACATTGATTCTTCACCATCAATGAATGCGATGTCAAAGGCGATGGCGTTGAGGCATTTGCAAGCACCCAATCAAGGCAAGCTTAACCGAGAATAGGTTCTCATCCCCGCCTGTGCCGCCTCTACGTCGGAAGATCTAAAGATGCGTTTGTAAGGTACAATAATTGTATCCACATACTGTGAGTCATTCAGTCAATATATGAATAAATACTCCGACTCTCCTAATTGTACCTGGGTGTACTTATCCAGACATTGTGGGTGAATCACAGTGGTATTAATGCTACACAGCTTGAAAACGCATACTGAATAGAATAGAATGATTGCGGCTAGTGGTACTTGTGTCTACGCGACCTGTCTTTCTGAATGTTACACGATTTCTTCAAAGCCAAAGCCCTCTTAGATAAAGGTCTAGCTTGCTTCTTTTGATCCTCCTTCACTTATCACCCCCATAGATCTATAGATCCGTTGACAACCAACACCAATACTGCGGAAGATGCGCATCTTCATCGCTTCTTACTGGCCTGTGTATAAATATCACAGCTGCCGGGTACTCAAGCAATGCGGGATCGAGAATCTCCGCTGACGTTCGGTTTGACATGTTAGCGTCAATTGGTGCCTTCATGCCTATATGGTGCCAGTTCAATCGCGTTCCTGGCATACCTACATATATAACCTTAAGCTTACTGCGAACTGGTGTACCGCAATGCACGATGGTTTCTTATCCCCAATGCCCCCTTCCTGAAAGTACTGCCTGTCTGAGCTTCTTGACACCAGGACAATTGATTGGGATGACGGTTAGTCAAGAGTTGCATGTATAGACGAAGATGAGACGCTAATGGATTTGGTTAGGTGGCTACAATGACCGGATTTATCTCAACTTTGGCAGTTCTGGTATTGTTCGCCATTAACCTTGTAAGTAAATCCAGCCGATCAAATATCTAAGCTTACCTGGCTTTTAGAAAAACTTCGTACTTTGTAAGATGTACTTGGAGAGAGGGGAATGGAAGGTCTTCAAGTCGCCTCTGGATGTCTATATGGTTCGCCTCTCAGACTTCAATATCTCTTCTGAGGTATTAACTGAAACACCGTAGGCTTCCCTTTTGCTGTCTGATATTTTACAAGGACTTGGCAAGATTATGCATGTAAAATGGCTACACCTCGGGTTTTCAGAGTGCAGCAGTTATTGTACAGCTCAAGGTACGTTCCATACTGAATATGAAATATCTCTCCTGATTTGATAAATCAAGGAGTGGTGCAGCAGATTGGCGAAACTGGCGTCGCTCTCGCGACCTTGGTAAGCCCTGGTTATCCCACCATTGTCATTCGATAAGACTAAAAATAACTACCATGGCAGGCCATCGCCGTCCACACCTTCCTCATAATTTTCTTCAGACGAGGAGGCCAGGCCAAAGCGACTGCCATCGCTATTGTGGTAACTATTTGGATATTTGTGATATTATTCGCAGTTATAGGATCGCAGACGTTGACGGATGGAGACAACCGTTACATTACCCCATCTCCGTATGTATCTTTATCTCTCTAACGGAAATCTATTAATTATTTCCGACAATTCAGTTATTGTAGGCTCTATTTTATGCGCGCTTTTTTAACCAATCCTCATGAGGTTTTTAGGGTGTTGGCTCAGTCCCAGACACAAGACCATTCAACTCACTGGGGAGTATCTGTGGCTGTGGCTTGCGGCCCTGTTATCAGTATTATTATACGTTCCGTTGGCGTTGCGATTGGCGGGCTATGTTCAACCAACAGGACGCCTGTGGTGGGAATATCGTGTACCAAAAAACCGCAAGCTGTATGGCAGTGAGCTGCCCCCGAAACCATCACGGGACGCCTTCACAATGTTATTGTAAGTAACATAGCACCGTAAATGGTTGGTAAAAGCTGAGTTTTTGATTCTAGATATCCTATTTTATATTTCTTCTTGGTCCTCCCCGACTCTATTTGTCGCTGGATGGAATTCACCGGACATCACACACCATCGGCTGCGACCTTCTTCAGTACTTCAATATTCGGATTAAGCGGTTTAGTCAATGTATTCCTCCTTTGGTATACCAGACCTGGTACGTCATTTGTGGAGAACCAGACTAGATCAGTGGAACTGATCGGGGGATATACAGGGTTGCTATTATTGACATGTCCACCTCTTCCGATTCCAAGTTCCACAAAATCACAGTGGGCAGATCAGTCTACGAGTACGGTGTCCGACAGAACAGATGATACCCGACGGTTAAGACCCAGTGTGCCTGTTTTAATCTTTGGCAGGGAGTCTGAGCCTGACACATGAGTCGCACGACTTTATTCTTATTTTATAGGAGTTCAATTACTGAGTTATTCTGTCTTTATTGTACGGCAATTGCCTGAATAATGCTGTAACGATATTATCACAATGTACAACAATATCTTCTCTAGCCTCAGCTCTGTATAATACTTGCTTGAATATATTTACATACTAATTAATATTGCTGGATTTCCATGAAAGCTTGCCACGAAATCCATGGAGGCCGCATGTAAGACATTTCCCGGTTCGATTTTCTCTTGACTCCAGTGTACACATAGTTTCCGCTGTATAATCGATGAATGAAAGCTTGCCCAGTTATTTTTTTTCTTTTTATTTGCCGTGTCGGGGATGCAGATACCATCCACCAATGAGGCAGTCGCTGTAATCTACCAGTGTCGCTGTCGGGATGAGGCTGTTGGAAATAAGAGAGTAATTACTCACTACGCAAATCATCAGATTCCTTGTTTCAAATTTATATTTGAATTCGGGGGTGATTGCGCTCTTTCAAAGACGTCAGCTTTAATTCATACACAACTCATCACAATATTTCCGAGGCAGCCGGACCCACACCATCAAGGAGATAATCACAGCTCCCGATCATAAGTCTGAAGAGATAACATTGCTTTCAGTTCCCTCTAGATATATATAAGGATGAGTATGCCGTGATGTACTTTTAAGGCGTGCCACTGGCGGGGTTGTTTAAAGTTCCGGCGGAGACGATAGAGAGCTGACGAGTTGGCTTTGAAGTGCTTGGTCGTGGATGGTCTGGTAACTTGAAAACGCTAGAGTCCAAGAGCATTCGAATAATGGAGCTTTTGATCAGCATCCATAGGCATCAGCATATCTCATGAATGTGATGATGTGATGGAGTTCATCTTTGAGGGATTTAGACGACTGCAGCCTGTTGTCAGGGAGATGACATAAAGATGTCATTGTCAGCTCAGTGGCTAAATAGATAGTTTTTAGACCCTATAACATAACAAGTGGCAAGCCAAACTGTGAAATATCAATCTCCGTCCACCTGAAGATATGCGTCCCGATAGTCAGAAGACTACATCTCTGGCTATAGCCTAGTTGGATCCTTGACGGTAATTTTAGATTGAACACTCCAGTACACAATCACACCTGTTTTTACCTCCCTCCCCACAGGAAAGCAACTGTTTTTATACCGCAGTTAAGAATTATATATGTGAAATAATATACAGAGTGATCGACAGCCCATTACAATATGATGTACCCATATAAAGATTGTCCAGGCGGGAAGTGCAAAGCGTAGCCAAAACGACAGTAGATACATTAGATATCTGTTAGATAGCATAATAGTCCAAACAAAATAGTCCGCGAAACAGAGACACTTAATAATAGCCATAAGGGAATGCTTACATGTATCCATGACTCTTGACAGCGTCATAGAAGAAGTCGAGGTTTTTCTGGAGATGAACATTGAAAATCTTGGCAACTAGCGGCTCGACATCGGGGAACTGGATGGCGCGAGGCTGACGATAGAAATCGGCGGGAAGCATGTTCTTGTCGAAAAAGCTGCGAGCTACTTCGAGGCTGAGTTTTTGGTCGAATTTGCGACCTTCGCGGAAGAAGAAGAGGGGGAAGACGGCTTCAGCGTAAACACTGAGAATACGAGGGGCAGTGAAGACAAAGTTGGGGTTGGTGATGTTGGATTGTTAGATGCGTTCCCATCTGAGCTCTGCGGCTGCGTTGATGTCGTATGAACCGCCTCCGTACCTGTAGCTGAAGTCAGTGAACTAGAGAAGGGCAACCATAAGCAAATGGTAATTCAAAACTCAATGACTATTTACCTGCTAGAAAAAGGTCTCGTTAAAAACCGCCTGGTCGCCGAACTGCAATCGATACGAGTCATACTGGTATCACCTAAACGAAAACAGACATTAGAGCGCTGTTATCATTGTAAAGCTTATATCCCTTACCTTCAAAGGCTTCGTGGAATTTCGATGTTGGCCATCTTTTGGAAATCAGCAACCTCCCTCTCACTGAGACCAGCGAAGCTGTGTCGCATACAAGGGATGATAATTTTTCAATTCATTCTCTGAGTTCAGATCGTAACCGTAAAAACATAATTGGCTCAAAGGACACTCTACTAGAGCAGACGAGAGCCAAACCGTCCCGTCCATAAGCAATGCCTCGTGTGACGAAATACCCGAAGAAAGCGTGACGGTTACGGAGCCCCACGGGCGCCAGGTTAAGAAATTTGAGAATTGAGTTTTGATCATTCGCTTTTCGGGCAATTGTTTTCGGTCGCATTTTAGGGGCGATCATAAAGCCCCGAACCGAAGCTAAGCGCTTGATGACTCAGTATTCCCAGGGCTCAGGAAATTCACCGAGTCAAGACTACAAGAGGAGTCATGCCAGTCAAGCAGCTCAAGTTGGAAAGGCTAGATGTATTGGTACAAATAGAATACATTATAGATATAATTTATATACAAATAGACCGGAGATAATATTAAAATGAGGTGCAAACCAACTGTTGACCCTCGCCCGGGAGATAGCATATACCCTCACAAATGTGCTGGGTTTCCTGTTCAGTGATTAATGC